CACCAATCCATCCAATTGTAGAATTCGCGATTTCGTAGTATAATAAATAAAAAATATTCAACGCATAACGAAACATTCATCGTAACTAGGGGAGATGAACATCGTCTTCAGAACGAACTCGTAACAGTGGTAGGCTAGGTAGGATCTTCGAAAATTAAATCCTTACATTATCTTCTTATGTTGGCCGGTTAATCAGGCCGGTAAATTAATCGATATTTTGCGATGTATCGAGATATCGCCCTGTTCAGTTTACTTCATTTTTATAAAGTTATGGGGATAATGTAACAGAATAGTCAAGCTCATTTTCATACACGAAATGAATATAGGGCTCGTATGAATGGAATAATATATCATTTAATTTAATATAACAAGAAGTTGATAAAAATTGGTCTCCTTGAAATTCAACTTTTTTTTTTTTTTTTAAAACATCGCGAATGTTGCAGACCGCTGACAGCAACGTCAAAATCCTACTTTTTAAACTATTGTCATTGAAAAAAATTTCACAAATTAACTGATTTCAAACATTGTTTACAGTGGAAAGAGCACATGAGAATGGAGTTTTGAGGAAAGATAAGATAGATGATCGATTATTTATTGCTACGAAGAAGAAAAAAAATAGGGATGATATTCTGTTTAACTACCTACTAACAAAATAAAGAATTACCCATGAATTAAATATNAATATATATAAAAAAAAAACTAACCAAATCATCAAAGAAACTTTTCTTGATATGTCATTCTTTATATAAATAGATTGCAATCACAACGATCGCGACGCTACACTAGTCCCACTAATAATTATCTACAAGAAACGAAATGTTAAGTTGAAGTAAAAATCAAAAGGTGAAAAACTACACAGGATACATGGCGTTCTACATCCTGGCACCAATCCATCCAATTGTAGAATTCGCGATTTCGTAGTATAATAAATAAAAAATATTCAACGCATAACGAAACATTCATCGTAACTAGGGGAGATGAACATCGTCTTCAGAACGAACTCGTAACAGTGATAGGCTAGGTAGGATCTTCGAAAATTAAATCCTTACATTGTTATCTTCTTATGTTGGCCGGTTAGTCAGAGTATCGATATAAATTAATCGATATTTTGCGATGTATCGCCCTGTTCAGTTTAGTTCATTCTTATAAAGTTATGTTTCACTGGGGATAATGTAACAGAATAGTCAAGCTCATTTTCATACACGAAATGAATATAGGGCTCGTATGAATGGAATAATATATCATTTAATTTAATATAACAAGTTAATAAAAATTGCTATCTTTAAAATTCAACGTGTTTTTTTTTAAAAAAAAAACATCGCGGATGTTGCAGACAGCTGACAGCAGCGTCAAAATCCTACTTTATAAACTATTGTCATTGAAAAAAATTTAACAAATTAACTGATTTCAAACATTGTTTACATTGGAAAAAGTACATGAGAATGGAGTAAAACTTTTTGAGGAAAGGTAAGATAGATGAACGGTTATTTATTGCTACAAAAAAGAAAAAAAAATAGGAATGATATTCTGTTTAACTAACTACTAACAGAATAAAGAATTACTCACGAGTTAAATATTTGAATTAGCACAAAATAACTATCTTGTCAAACTTAATTGCGAAATTAGGCGTACTTAGACATTTATATGAGGGTGTGCTACAATAGAGATAAGCGCTTTCACAATTCTAAAAAAAAAAAGAAAGGAAGAAAAAATGAAAAAGTTTTTCTTTTTTTTCAAACTATCTGCTAATTTTTGTCAGTAGAGTTTTGTTACGATTTTATAATATTATGATTTTATTATAATTTATTCCTAAAATTCATTATAATTTTTTTTTTTTAGATTCTTTTGCTTGACAATGAAAAAATACTGTTGGAATAAAAATGGAAAAATAAAATATTTTACGTCAAGTACATAAATTGCTCATTACATAGAAACTTCATAACACTTTTAAGACAAAGTAAAATATTACAAAAAATCTTTTTTTTTAAAAAAAATTATAACACATTTAGCTTAGAAAACACAAACACCCTTTGCAACCAATAAACTTCTTTAATTCAGCTTCAGAATTCATAACATCTATATCTATTAACTTATGATTTACTGTAGGAAAAGTTGTGCAAATATGGCAGTAAAAATGGCCATTTTAAAAAGAAAATATAACTATAAGAAATAAAAACATGTTCAATTTTTATATAATTATGTTGCTATAATTACAATTTAAACAAACAACTTTTTTCATTCTTTATTTTTAAAACTATTCTTATATTTATATGATGAATCTAATCTAAATAATTTATCTAATAAATACGATGAATTATCAAATTTTTTATAAGATGAAAATTTAGAATTGTACTCCATTTTATAATTATATTCAAATAGACCTCTAAAGAGGGCAATTTAGATTGAGGATTTTTGAAAAGGAAAAAATTTCATTTATTTTAACCGAAATGCATTAAAAAAAAAAAAAAAAAAAAAAAAAAAAAAAAAAAAAAAAAAAAAAAAAA